GGCTGCCAAGGGTGTCAGGCAAGGGGATCCCCTTTCCCCTTACTTGTTCACAATAGCTATGGAGCCTTTGTCTGGGATGTTGGATCAGGCTGCTTCTCAGGGTGTTTTGCCCTTTCATCCACAATGCAAGAATCTGGGGTTAACACATTTAAGTTTTGCTGATGACCTACTAATTTTTACTGAGGGTTCAGCATTTGCTTTACATGGTTTGAGATCAGTATTGAATAGATTTTATAAACTCTCGGGGCTCCAATGTAACCCTGACAAATGTGAGGTCTTTTTTGGGGGTTTTGCACATCAATTCAAGCATCATGCTCTTAGGATGTCTGGTTTTAGAGAGGGGACATTGCCTGTTAGGTATCTTGGTCTCCCTCTACTTGCTGGGAAGTTATCTAGTAGAGAATGCACTGCACTGATAGATAGAATTACTAGTAAAATTAGAAGTTGGAGAGCCAATAAGCTTTCCTATGCTGGTAAGCTGCAGTTGGTTGATTCAGTGTTATATTCATTGGTCCACTACTGGATGGCTATCTTTCTTTTGCCAAAGAAGGTCCTTAAGTGCATTCAGAAAATCTGTTCTGATTTTTTATGGCATGGGGATAAGAAGGGGAGAGCTAAAGTGGCTTGGGAAACGTTAGCTATGCCAAAAAAAGAAGGGGGATTGGGATTGAAGGACCTCATAACTTGGAATGTGGCTGCCATGGCTAGGCTAGTTTGGTTGCTCATCATGCAGGGGGGCAGTTTTTGGGTGGCCTGGATCCGGAGGTACAGACTAAGAGGGGCCTCTATTTGGGAAGTGAAGAAAGCACAATCTGGATCTTGGATCTGGAAACAAGTTTTGAAGATCAGATCTTGGTTACAGTTTAGAATGGAGGGGACTCAGGGCTGTGTGACTTGGCTGGGAAGGAAGCTGGAAAAATATTTTGTTTCTGCTATTTGGAACACTATCAGGAGGAGACAACCTCGAGTTGACTGGTGGAAAGTTGTCTGGAACAAATTCAGGATCCCTAGGAACAGTGTCCAAGTTTGGCTAATTATCATGGATAGGCTCCCTACCAAAGACAAGCTCATAAAATGGGGAGTAGTGAATGACAGTACATGTGTTTTTTGCAGGGCTTCAGAGGAGTCCAGAGATCATCTGTTCTGTCACTGCATGTTCATTCAAGAGGTGGTTCAGATTCTACTAAGAGGAGAGGTATCCTTTCCTGCAAGCTGGAATGAAATGCTGGCTGTGATGGTGCATAGAGTGAAGAAGAATGGAGGCTGTGGTGGGATTGAGGCTACAATCTGGTGTTGGTGCATTAGTGCAGTTTGGAAAGAACGATGCAGGAGGATTTTTGGAAAACAGCAGAAGACTGCAAAAATGCTGGCAGAACAAATCAGGGAAGATGTGAGACTTTACACAGTGGCGCGCCCTGATTTTCAATCCTTTCTGACCAATTCTGCTTGTAGTAACTGTTTAGCAGAGTAGGAGTTTTTGTATTTCGACTTTTGGGTGCCTTTGTACAGACTGTGAGGCTTCTGCCTTGTGTTTTTTCGAACTCTTGTGCTGTTTTTTAGCCAAGAGTGAGCTTTAATGAGAAGGATAATTTACCGAAAAAAAAAAATTATGATATATAACATTATTTCAATATTCGAGCTATATTCAACTTAATTATTTTGCATTGAAATTTAAAAATTGAATTTTGATACGATGTGCGAGCCGGGAGTATTATTCGTGAATATTTTTTACAAATGTATAATATCTCCCATATTTTCTTGATGTGTGATTTTTAAAGGTGTTACAAAATCCAAGTAGTTATCTTGATTAAAAAAAACAAATGTGTACCACGAAGCAAATTATGTTACATACACTACAAGAAAACTCGTCTATTGCGACTAAAATATTGCAACAAATGCATCATATGTCTCTAAAAATATCAAATACTTGACAATTTTATAAAATGTCTCTAAAAGTATTAATATCTGTCTCTAGAAGTATCATATACTTGACAGATATGATATGTGTCTCTATAGCTATTATTTTAAGATTTGATACTATTATTAATTTCTTAATATTTTATTTTAGTTTAGATATATGGTTAGTTTTCGAGACAAATTTATAATGATGTCATTGGGGATATGTTTAACAGCCGCTATAGGCTTATGCAATCTCTATTTCGACGGAAAAAAGGAGAAATAATAAAAGGAAATTAAAAATAAAATTTGCAAATAAGGATGCATCCCATTTGAAAACCCTAGCAGTGATCTCTAAATTTCCCCGGCCGACTCCATGTCTCCATCTCATCCTGCCTTCTTCTCCATCGTGGCCCTGTTTCTCTCTATCGGATTATGTCAATTGCTATACAAGGAATGGGGTTCCCTCACTACCTTCTCTCACCGAAGGCACACATCATGGGAAAGAAGAGATTCCATATCTTCCGTTTCTTGGATCTGCATAAGAAGAAGCATCCAGTTCTCGAGTCGGTATGGTGATTAGGAGCCAAACTACAGCTGCTATGATTTCTGAGCTCGGTCTAACAGATGCCTCTAGATCTGCAGCAGTTCCCCATTCAAATCACAAAATTCCATATATGTGGCCTCATCTTCATCTCCAACAGGCTCCATCTATAACTTTCTCCTCAACTGTGTAAGATTATGATGCAACTGAAAAAGGTAATTGTATCCTTTTTAATTGCAAATGGGAGTGCTTGCTCTAACCCCTTTTTTGTATATCATCATGTTGCTGATCTCTTTTTTCATCATGCAATACACCTTCCCCTAAGATTCCCACGTCTCAACAACTTTCAGATCTATTTTATCCATCAACGTTTCCACTTGAGTTTGGGTTTGTGGGTTGTCTGGTTTCAATTGACTGTTGCTTTTCTATTGAGTGTGGGGGCTATGTTTTGTTGGTTCATTCTACAAGTGAAGGTGCTTATATATGGAAAACTAATTGCATCTCTAGTCATTATCCTATTTTTAAAGTTGTACTCAGAGAAACACAGATTAACATGGTAATTCCTCGACTTGTGAGGGTTTTACCGTTATATGCGTATTTTTGGGGTATTTTGATTAGTTTTTATAGGTGGGTATTTCTCAGTTTCTTGTTCTCAAAAGCCAAATTTAGTAATTTACCCATAACCTGTACTTTCAGGAGTCAACTGTATTACGGAGCTGGTGAAAGATTACACAATGAGCATCAAGTTTTCAAGGCTAGTGACGGGGAGTCAATTGTGCATTATGTTGATAATGGTGATAGTGATTGGGGAAAGGAACCTGAAGACACAACTAAGGGGCGTTTATAAAGTTATTGTGTTGTTCAAACTCATAATTTTGTTGGTTATCATTGTACTATAGTTTTTATCCATTTAGAAACATTTCTGATGTAAGCACCAAAATTGATTGGCTTCAATCAAAAAAAGGAAAAAATGGTGGATTTCATAGATTTATTTTGTTTGTACTAATAGTAATGAAATTGACAAAATATACGGTTATGTTTTTAATTTCAATCAGAATTGAATTGGTAAGTAAATAAGTTGTAGTCGATTATGCTTAAGAAATTTTTTTAGACAAATATAATAGTCTCGAATGACTAAGATTAAGAACAAAACAAATTGACTCTAAAAGTCAAATTGGTGACAAATATTTATGTCGGAAAAATCTAATATATAAACAAAAGAATATGTCTCTAAAGGTGAAATTGGAGACAAATATTTATATCTTTAAATGTTAATATAGAGACTAAATAATCGTCTCTAAAAAAGTCTTTAGAGACTAAAATATTAGATGTAGTTTTCCCAATCAGTAACAAATAATATTTGTCTCTATATTTGTCTCTATAAGGCTACTGCAACTGCTCTAGAGGAGACAAATATGGTATTTGCATCTAAAGAAGTATAGAGACAAATGAGTATTCAATAGAGACACATTTTCATTGTCTCTATAGTCCATTTTTCTTGTAGTGATATTTTCTACCCTCAATTGGGCATTCCCTGTCTGTAGGGATTCATGTTTTTTTTTTATATGCAACTAGTAGTGTACATGCTTACTAGTTGTACTTTGATTGAATTAGGGATTGTACCCCTCGTTTAGTTATTGAATAAAGATTGGACGCCTTTTAAGCGCTTTATTTCTATTAAAAAAAACATATTCATCGATAGAGTGGGAAAAAAATTACTTAATTTGATAGACTTTAACAGTTGCCTTTTCTTGAAATTCGAAGCTCATTGAACAATGTATATGTTTCGATGTGAGAGCATGCATGTGTGTGGTTGTAACCTTGAGCTCTCCAAGGCGACTTCAAATGCTCGCTAGCACATCCTAGCTTTTCCATGTCGATTGATAGTGTCTCCCGTTAGAAAAAAATATTACTGAATATAAGTATGGGTGAGAAATGTTCTTGGTTTATATTACAATGAAATGAACCGAATCGGATTGAATATATTTTAATTTAATTTTGATCCTATAATTTATGTTAAGTATTATGAAGAATCAAATATTTTAATTTAAAATTGGAACGGATCAAATCAAATGAACAAACCAAACATAATTTTGGTCTAGTTTTAGCGTCATTTTCTTTGATTTTCATCTAGTCTTATCTTAATTCGATCCGATTCTAGACCAAACGATTGATATCCACCCTTATATATAGTTAATACTTTAATGGTGTATGGATTAGCTTCACAATACTAAACTTATGAATAATATATAGCTTCTATTTGCCACCTAACCCCAAGTAAATGTCCTGACTACACATGCGATTACATGTAAATACATCTACTGGTGGATCAATACTAATAATCGACACCCAGAGGCCAGATCTTTTGGTATAAGCACAAACATATGAGGATTGAGGAGAACATATCCATGATTTAGAAACTCTACCAAGTCGTCTGGTCGATCGGACCGAATATCGGATACCAAACTCAAACCAATAGACAATTTTAGCGGTTGAATCGCGCGACAAAACCAACAAATTTTATATAAAATACATCGTCACTAACTTTTTCTAATATAACCCGTAAAATTTTAATTCCACGATCACATAAATGGACACAAAAGCTTTTGGCTAACCAATAAGAGAGAGAGAGAGAGAGAGAGAGAGAGAGAGAGCATGCAGTGGGAATGTGTAGCCCGCCGGGCTGCAAAAGTTTCTGAAGTTTTCGAAGTCCGGCCAACCCAACCTTCCCCATATCGGAACTTGAAGATGAATATTGTACCTTCACACTTACCAACCTAATTCATCGACTTAATTATATCCTTAACCCATCCTAAGCTTGCTCATAAACCCATATCATTTCGTTTCAAAAGCATGGTTTGGCTTTGAAGTTTGAATCGTCTCTCCTATCCATCCACATTGCCTTTGTAGTTGTTCAAGTAAAAATGGCTGACGCGTTCACTTAATCCCCAAGCAACAACCGGCCTATATTCATTCTTCTGATAGTATTTTTATAGTGGTTTACATGAGTTTAGTTAACTAATTAAGTGCCTTTATGATTCCATTGATAAGATTCCAGCTCCAACTTTGAAGGTGGTAGTGGAATTGGGAAGAGAGGGGGAAATGAGCTCTGCTTTTTTAGCATAGAAAAGAACTGAGCTGTTAAAAGTTTAACAGCTGGCTAGTTAACTTTATTTTTTGTAAAAGAATTACTATTTTTAATGATCTTTAGCTATTCACTAGAGAGGAAAAGAAGGGGGAAAAAGTGAAAAAAGTAAAATACTCAGTTTTTTTTTCCATAGATTCCCAAAATAGGAAACAACTTGATACAAACAAATATACATGACATTTGTAGGTCATAACTAAATTGAATTAGAGAAAGGGGTGTTTGCCGATCAAAAGTGGATTCAACGATAAGAGGACTTACTTTGTCACGATCATACGACCAGCAACTTGTCATATCTACGAGGCGTGAATCAAAATGATGCACTTTGTAATGGACCCCACGGATTTGAAAGTTCAACCTATTTCGGTGGGAATTGATTATGGACTTTGAAGTCCTTCATTTTTTACCAACCTACCCTTCATATTTGCTTTCTCTTCTTATATCATTGAGGGCAATAAAGGTAAATTACACTTCACAAATACAAATTTAATTAACAAAATTCATCATGAAATCCATCAAACAAACAACGGTGTTTATCAAATCCATAATGAACCTAAAACCCTCATATATCCATGATTTTTCAAAACCCAAGTTATAAAAAAATCTTCAGTTTTCAAATCAACGCAAACGAACCCTACTATTTCTTTGCTTGAAAATGCTTGTAATGGTTTTGGAGATGGTGGGGAGGAATTGCCTATTACACTAATTGGCTTCCCACTTATACATATCATGGAGATACAACACATAAACTAGTATGTTAGTTATTAAATAGAATGATTCCTCTATGATGAGGATTTGGTTGGTGATCAGCCGTCGATCTATTTCTTCCTTTTTCTTTTCTTCCAATCAGAAAATCAATGGCAAAAAGGAATCGAGCCACCCTTATAATGTGGAGAGCCCATGATGCTCTCTGTATATATGGGCGATGGAATCTCTAGCTTTCTACCGTATATGGTATTTGCCGTTTGGGCATGAAAAGTTGATTAGGGTTACCCAATTGTGAAATCTGCGAGATGGTGGATTCCATCATGGTATTCTTCTGACCAGGATCCATCCATCCATGTAGGTGTTTGTAAATGGCAGAATTTTCACAATACATGTATTGCTTCATGTTTGGTCTAGATCAGGATAACTTTGGGGAAATATCTATAGTACTGTACCCATCACTCTCATCTTATCAGAGATTACTTCGGTTCGGCCAGAATCGTTTTCGGATCTGGGATATTAAGAAATGTTGTCATAACTGGATCGGACGGTCCGTCCCCAGAAATAATCGGACACGATGACCGTATATCAAGTTTCGGAAGCCGGCCTTAAAACGGGCCATTAACTTGTTGGCCACTTCACGATCGGTTCAACCAATCAATTGGACAAACTTTCCGACTTGAACCACCAATTTTGGTCTCTTTTCTTTATAGTTTGTAAGAAAAATGCAATGTGCGTTTTTTGCATGGATCGAACTCGATCTCATATATTGAAAGTTATATAAGTTAACCAATTGGGCTATAGTGGTTTATTTTTATTTTTTTGTTGATTTTCATATTAGTCTAGTAGTCACATTCATCATTTTAAGTAGATTTACAAAAACCAAATTTAACTTTCTGATCATGAAAAATAACTTCTTTCTCTATTTTATAGAAGGAGAACAATCTTGAAATCGTTACAAAAAACACTCATCCAAATATTGAATATTTAATTGTATATATGATTGAAATCATCAAAATCAAAATAGATACAGATACTTACATAATTGACACACGCCAGTTACGAAAATCATACCTAGACACACTCATCGGTAACAAAGAGATAATTAACCAATAATTTGAAAAAATAAAAATAAAAATATTCTAAACTACTATTAATCCTAGAAAAGCCACTGTCAATAAGAAATCTGACTATACCCCTCCAAATTGATGGTAACTACTTATCAACAACTCTAAAAATAGAACTCAAAATATTCGATACACAACTACCAGGATGATGATCGATCATGCCCCCAAGAAACATTGATGTGATTAACTAGATGCAATAAGATCTCTTGCCAAAGTCGTATTGTTTGTCATGTTAGAGTATGAGTGTATGATTAAGCATGATTAATATTGAGTTAAGTGTGAGTATCATTATGTAAGTTGTCATAGTGACACTTATTATAGTTCTAAAAATTTAGGTATTTTGCCTATTTATATTAGATTGTTATGGAAATTAACCTTTACATACTACAGGGAGAGGCCTTGGCGGTTGAGTTTGAACTTCGGCTGGCTCGACAACACCAGCTAGTCTCGCCAATTGTGGAGACGGACTGTCTAGCAGTCGTGAATTATTTGGATGTATCAAGAGGTTAGTAACGGAGGTTGGAGGCGGCCGAGTTCAGTACGTGAGTAGGAAAGCGAATGAGGCGGCGCATATTATGGCACACACGAGAGTTAGATGGGATGTAGCGGATGTTTGGTTTGATAGACCACCGCTGAATTTGTTAGATCAGCTTATCTCGGACAATGTACTTTCGGTTGCATCTGAATAAAAGCTGAATGACAGGTTCTGATAAAAAAAAAACCTTTATATACTACATAAGGTAATAAGATCATGAACCTTAACTAAGTAGAGGACTTGCAATTTGGAAACATGACACTAAGACTTGCATCCACTTACCATAAGGTAATAAGATCCCCTCTCTAAGAGCTCTCCAACTACGACATAAGAGCAATATGTCAATTGTAATAGGACGACCTTAGAATATCCATACATAAGACACAAACGCATTATACAACTATCATATTAACATACTACATTAAATATTTTACTACCACAAAATAACTTGTACTCACATTCCTGAGAGCCATGTGATATGCATTGTATACCTGATTTGGGTTGCTTGGGAAACAGAGACACAAATGGATCCCCTGAGGTCGACCTCAGAAGACCCATTTCAAAGATATTACTAAATTATATGTAGAAAGAATAAGACTCGACCTAAATACATGGAAGAATGAAATTCACAAACCCCAAAAAATAATGAACTTAACAAAACAAATGGCGGCCACCCCAGAAGCTTTTATCATTTGGCCATGAAAGAAAACCATTCTCTCTTCTCCTCACAATAGCATGTGCCACTTCTCAGAAAACCCATTATCACCAATCCAAAGCCCTTTCCCCTTCTCTATTTAAACCATCTTCCCATCCCTTCTTCCCCTCCACGCCACAACTTCAAAACTCCAAAGAAACAACAACAACAGATAGACAAACTCTCTCATTCAGTCATTTCATCAAACACTTTTCCTTAAATCCCCTGTTTCTCTATTAGCTAAGATGTACACCGCCACTAGTCTTAATAGCAGCGACTTACTCGCCATGTTTCAAACTCCCACCCGCGAGGACTTCTTCTTCTCGTCGTCCCGCCGCTGCATATGGGTCAACGGACCCGTCATCGTCGGCGCCGGACCTTCTGGCTTGGCCGTCGGAGCCTGCCTGAAAAGACAAGGCGTCCCTTTCATCGTCCTCGAGCGAGCCAACTGCATTGCCTCTCTCTGGCAAAACAGGACCTACGATCGCCTCAAACTTCACCTCCCCAAGCGATTCTGTCAGCTACCCAATTTCCCATTCCCCGAGGAATTTCCAGAGTACCCTTCCAAGTTTCAGTTCATCACCTACCTTGAAGCCTACGCCAGGCATTTCGACATCTCCCCGAATTTCAACGAAACCGTCCAGTCCGCGAAATACGACGAGACGTTTGGTCTCTGGCGGGTCCAGACCGTTTCCAACATCGGGCCGGTGCCGGTGGAGATCGAGTACGTCTGCAGGTGGCTGGTGGTGGCCACTGGAGAGAACGCTGAAAAGGTTGTGCCGGAGTTTGAAGGGTTGGAGAAATTTTCCGGCGATGTCAGCCACGCTTGTGACTACAAATCCGGCGAGAGTTATCGCGGGAAGCGTGTTCTGGTCGTCGGATGTGGGAATTCCGGAATGGAAGTCTCTCTCGATCTGTGCAACCACAATGCCGCCCCATCAATGGTGGTTAGAAGCTCGGTGAGAACCATAGCTCTAAACCATCCCCTGTTTTTGCCTCTGTTTTCCCCCTGCTTTAGAACTTTCTCCCCTGATTTTTTCCTCTGTTTTCCCCCCTGTTTTAGAACTTTCTCTGATTGAGGGCTTGTTTTATGACTTCCCATCTGCAGGTTCATGTACTGCCGAGGGAGATTCTGGGGAGATCAACATTCGAGCTGGCTGTTACTCTCATGAAATGGATGTCACTGAGGATGGTGGACAGAGTACTGCTGGCTGCCGCCAGGGTGATGCAGGGGAATCTGCAGAAGTATGGACTAAAAAGGCCAAGCCTTGGGCCGTTGGAGCTCAAGAACGTGGAAGGGAAGACCCCAGTTTTGGACATTGGGGCGCTGGCAAAAGTGCGATCTGGCGAGATTAAGGTTGTCCCTGGAATCAAGAAGTTCAGTAGTGGGAAAGTGGAGCTTGTCGATGGGAAGATTCTGGAAATCGATTCCGTGATTCTGGCAACTGGGTATCGCAGTAATGTTCCTTCGTGGCTAAAGGTGAGCCTACAGCACAGCACACTCTTTTTTTCTAGTCGTTTCAGCTTCCAGGTTTCATGTGACAGTTAGGGTTTTGACTTTGCCCAAAAGGGTAGCAAACAAGGAATGAAAGGGGTGGTTTTATATAGAGTTCAATAGAAATGAAAATTCCCATCTTGCAGGACTCCCTGTGGTTGGTGGTTTCAGTGAAAGAGATGGGAGGGAATCTGGTGGGCTTTGTTTGGCTGTTTCTGGGCACTTTTACCTTTGCCAATTAGACACCCATTTAAGAGAATCTAGAAAGCTTGACAGTTGGATGTTTGTTTCTTTCCCCTCTTTGGAAAAAAACATTAGACATAAAGACTGTATTTTTCCTATTTTGGGAATGGAGAAATCTTCTTTGTGTATTAACTTTTTCTGGGTTTGGTGTTTTCAGGAGAATGACTTCTTCTCAGAAGATGGGATTCCAAAGAATCCATTCCCAAATGGGTGGAAAGGGAAAGCAGGGCTGTATGCAGTTGGGTTCACAAGGAAAGGGCTCTCAGGTGCATCTCTGGATGCCATTAGTGTGGCAATGGATGTTGCCAAGAACTGGAAAGAAGAGACTAAACAGAAGAAGAAGACAATGGCTGCCAAGCACAGGAGATGCATTTCCCATTTCTGAGGAAAAAACTTCCCTTTGTTAATGTCCTAGAGCTTTGCTGGGTCAATTGGGACTGAATCAGTTCCATAACCTCTTTTTTTTTCTTCTTCCTTCTGGGTTTTGGGTGTAGAAATAATTATATAGGGAAAAGAAACAAAAGAAAAAGAAAGCAACAGCTTAGTAATTAGCCCTCTCCTAAAGAAAATGGCCAAGAAGTGCACATATTTTGGGCCATCTGTTTTCCTTTCCTTTTTTTATGAACAAAGGAAGATGAGGCTGGTTGGTTTTTTGCACCTTTTTTTCTTGTTGCAACTTGTTTTCTCTTGGAAGAGCTCTTTTTGTTATCTCTTTAAGGAACTTTGTATCTTAGGGTACTCAATCATTCAAGTGAAATGAAGAGGACAACTCTCTCCTCCATATTATGTTCATGTATTTCCTACATATTTGGATTTGGATTCAATGAAACCATAGGCATGTATTCTACATGCTTAGAGACTGTTATGTTGAATTTGTCGGCCATAAGACCCTTTGCTTCTACTATAGCTAAGACTGTTATGATGACGAGCATGCTTCTCGCTGACCAATAATAGAAGCAATTCCCGCTATAGAGTCTACTCGTAGTGTGCTACATTCAAGTTCTCAAAATCAACGTTATAGTTTCGTATAGGTAGCATTGTAAGAGTAATAATGTTCGGAGTTCATTCTCACCATTTAAAGGGAGTTGCAACTCGATCGAGAGTCAACGAGAGATTATCCTTTGTGTCAACTGATCACATGATCATCCAATGCCACATGATTTCCATTTGAAGTAGGTCATATTGGAACCCTGATTTTATACATGTGCGGAAATCGAGTGAATATTTTGTTTAGATTGGTCCAACAAACCAAAGTGCCGAATTAGCGGACACCTTTGGCCTTGTTCAACATGGGCGTATCTCACTACAAAATTTATGTTGGCTCCTTCTTCTGTTGACCACGCAATAAAACTATGTGGCATTGGATGTCTATGGCTTTTCTGGCCCTCTGTTTTCATGCTGCATTCTGCCTTGGCACATGGATCGATCCAGCCAGAATACAGGAAATAAAAAGGAATCCAAGTGTAGATGTTTGCAACTTCCCCCTTCTCATTTTTCTAGTAAAATTAATATATGTAAATATTTATAGGGTTCGTTCCGAGAACAAGATTTAGGTTGGAGATTCATTGAATCCGTACATTTTGTAGAAATCTATGTTTTTTGTTACTTTTAGTAGGGTAGATTTTAGGTTTAGATATTTCAAATCTCTAAAATCTATGAATATCAAATCTCTAATAATTAGAGAGATTCAATATCTTGATTCGTTTTCACTTTATCTCTTTCTTTTATTTATTTATCATATTAAATATCAAGTCACTTGAAAATGCATAGTCCACCACGTGAAAGAAGACAAGAATACATATTCTAAGACCTAAGTCCCTACTCCAAGAGGATTATACCATCAACAAGTGTTTTCGCAAATGCACATTTATGGGATTTGAAAGCTATGCTTTCTTCTTCACCATGGGTTTTCATCTTATTTTTCTCTCTCAAACCAACGACTCCAAATACATATCATGGAGCACCATTAGCAGAGTTGGCTATTTGGAAGTAGGGATGGCAACAAAACCCGAACCCACGGGTATCCACCTGACCCAACCCGGTTAACGCAGGTAAAACTCGTGTTGACGGGTTTTGGGCCGGGTTTGGGTTTAAACCCGCTCCACTATTCACCGGGTTGGGTTGGGTTTGGGTTTAGGTAAACCCGCCCCATGGGTACCCGCCCACACACATATAATTACTTTCCCGGTATATTTAATATTCTAAATAATATATCTTCCTTAAACAACTAATATTCTTTATGTTTGTGGAGACATGTATAATTTGTTCTTTCTAATTGTTTTGAATGAAGTTGATATTATGAAGTGGAGAGTGAAGAAACTTAGTTGACGAGGAAGAAGCTTTCAATTAATCTTATTGTTTATAGATGTTTATCTTTAATTTTGAACAATTTGTATTGATCATTTGCGGTTTGCTTGTATGCTCTAGATTGATGTTTTTTGTTTGAATAATTTGTATGAGAAAATTGATGTAACTTTTATTTTGAAAGAAACTTGTTATTGTAAATTTTTTACCACAAAAACCCACGGGTACCCATGAACTCGCGGATACCCAACGGGTTGGGTTGGGTTTGAGTTTTTCAAACCTAGCGGGTTTTACCCCGGGTTTTTGTGGCAGATAAACCCATGGGTTTGGGTTTGACAAAACCCGCCCCAACCCGCCCTATTGCCATCCCTATTTGGAAGCGTTGAGACCAAAAAGTTCTTTTGTTCCATCATTAAATTGCTCAGCCTAGGCATTGGAGCCATGAGATAAACCTAAAAAAATTCAATGTAATAGAAGTTGATTTGTATGTACTTCAGAAATGTATCAAATAAACTCATCCATTAGGAAGGAGGACCCTCTCTTTCTGTCATATTAACCAAGATTCATGTCTTACTCAGAGATGCTAGCCAAGAAAATGCAGATTTAACATGGAACTTGGGTATCATCCTCAAAAACCAGAAAAGAACAATACTTCCTCTCCAATGGAGGAATCTCAAAACATTGATAATTAGTTAATTAACTGTATGTTTTCCCACAATAATCGCCCTTCCTATTAATAAACTGCGTCTCAAATACATATACATGGTTAATTCTCTCCTATTTACAACCCTCCCATTATTCTACTCCTTCGGCTGATAGGAGGGCTCGATAGATGAAGAAGATCAGAAGCAGAAACAGGAACACAAATCCAGCAGATAAAATTTTGCTCTGGCAGGCGGGATTGGCATCCCCAGCTTCGGGAAAGCGCCGACTACATATGTGCTCTAGACGGGCTGCTACAACATCTTCCTTTGTGAAATACAAGGAGTACAGGTGAGAATGCAGGTATTCCACTATCATATACTCCTCCTGTTTTCGTGCCAGTACACAACAATGTATACACTGAGGATCAAGTTCGAGTACAGGAGAAGTTGACGTTTCACGGTCTTTGTTGGGCTTTCAAACCATGCATTGACGGGTTTGCGTTCTGCATACCGGTTATTCAGGTATTTTAATACATTTTTACTATTTGAAATGTTTCTATTCTTGCAGACCAAGTAAATTTCATACTAATGACTTCCTAATATTTAATTAGGTTGATGGAAGGTCAAGAGTTGGCCATGTGGACGTTCCATATGGACAACGGGGCCAGATGGGGCATTGCAACTACCAACCACGGAGAAGTATAAATAATGTGTACAAGGGCCTTCGAGCGATGCCTATTTCTGTCATAGTGGAGATGTCATACTGGAAGGTCAACGAGTGGCAGGTGGCTCGGCTGCAGCTAGCGATATGGAGGGAGATATCTGGTCATCCGATAGCACATGACGTTTTTGAGCAAATGCAGAAGAACAAAGAAAATCAAGTAAGCATAAAGTTGTTCTTTTCGATCGCAGTGAAGGGATATTTGCAGTGGAAACAGGTGTATGGGGTGGAGGTAGACGTGGCCACAATCGTCAGACGGTTACTCTGCACTATGAATCAGGGGAGTGTACATGTCAAAAATATCAAAACGAGAGGATACCCTGTTCACATGCAATGGCAGTAGCTAAGTCATTAAGCATGAACAGAAACACTCTGGTGAGTCCTTACTACACTGAACAAGCGATACGAAACTCATATGATGCAACTTTGAGTCCCATGCCAGATGAAGCGTATTGGCCTATATACGTTGGGAAGTTGATTATCCCACCGTTGCACCTAAAACGCACCAAGGGTCGTCCTAGGATTGAAAGGATTCACGGAAAGATAATTAATATATTAATAATAATTAACTATATATTAAAATATTAAACAAATGCCCTAAAAAGATATCTTTAACTCAATATTTCAATTAACCAATCAATATATATCAATCAATATTATATATATTGATTGATATAAAAAAGACTTCTTTGGCCGGCACCAGGTGCATTTCCCCAAGGGTGACCTAAAGTTCCACCGCCAAATTGTAATACGGAATCATCTCCAAAGATCTCTGTCAGAGCAGGCATATGCCAAACGATCAAGTTTGATGGATTCGCCCTCTGAAACAAGAAGTTCTGGTCCTGGAGGTATAATATTAATTACTTGACGTCCCTCTGGCGCATCGCCGGGAATCTCCGGATCTACGCTTATTTTCAACTCCCCGAAGCATTTCGTCGCTTACTACGCCCTTCCTCGTCTCTGGGTGCCTAGGGATCCACCGTAAGCCTTTCCTCGTTTGAACCTCGCCCTTAACTTCTTTACTTTACTTTAAGGCATAATCATTAACTATTTCTTTCTTTTGGTACGAGGAACTTATCATGAATCCATTGATTTCTGCCGCTTCCGTTATTGCTGCTGGCTTGGCTGTTTATGAATGTCTCCGTGGTGGACTTGATTTTACCAAAGATGATGAAAACGTGAACTCCCAACCATTTATGCGTTGGAGAGACCGTTTCTTATTTTGTGCCGAGCCAAGAGACCTCACAAACCGCATTGCATCTCCTTACTGAGGCAGTAGAATCTTTGTCAGTATGGTACGTCCCTCCTGTTCCACTGGACTTCTCGGCTGACGTGACTATGAATGGATTGATGATTCATCAACGGGCACAGGCCAATTCAAAGCGTCGAAAATCGATTTTACGGTATAGACGCTTATGACCTCCCCCTCTATGCCTTGCGGTAATGATTCCTCTGGCACCAAGAGCACCCCCTCGAGTAAAAGCTTCCACAGCCGGTTGGCCAAAATGGGCTTCTTTATGTTCTAACATTCTTGCCAATACATTATCCTCATTCTGCTCCGGATTGTAATCTCTAATAAAAAATATAGCTCCGTGAGCAAAAGCTCCTGTCATGATGAATCCTGCGATATATTGGTGATGAGTATATAACGCAGCTTGAGTAGTAAAGTCTTGCGCTATGAACGCATAAGCAGGTAACGAGTACATGTGTTGGGCTACTAAGGAAGTAATAACCCCTAAAGAAATACCAAGTTCACGTTTTATCGGTCTTTTTTATTGAAAATAACAGTGAGCGCTAATATAAGTCCGGAAAGAGGAATGAAAAAGCAGGAGGTTATGCAATACTCGACCGATTTTTTTCGAGATTTGCGATTTTTTTTTATTTTTTTTTTATTTTCTTTAGTTGATTTCTGGTTGTGTTTATTTTAGCAGTCAAATCTTTCATTTTTTCATATTAAAAATGAAAAACCCCTTTTCTCTTTTTAGTTAACTATCAATAAAGTCCTTTTGGATCAAATACAAGAATGCGGGCATCATGGATATTAATTATTACAATTTTTTTATTATTTTTTCGTTGGAATTCTGTTTACTCACTTTAAATTGAGTATCCGTTTCCCTCCTTTTCCTGCTAGGATTGGAAATCCTGTATTTTACATATCCATACGATTGAGTCCTTGGGTTTCGGAAATAGTGTGAGATGAATCAAGTGGAGTGCACGAAGCGGGGGAGCGATGAGCTTCTTGATCGGTTAAGAGTCTCATATCTCTTGGCCCATAATGGATATACAATCGAGGATCGTATATCTCAGCACCCATCTATAAAAAAAGTAATGAAATCAATGATTGTTTTGATAAAAAAATCACAAAATCAAATTGTTTCGATTAAAAATAAAAACACAAAAAAAAAAACCCAAAAACCTACACGAAGAGCCTCTTCGTCCATTTTTTGGCAGAAGCCGGACAGAGGTTCGACGAGTTCGGGTTAGTAAGGGACGGGGGCTTTAGGGTCAAACTCTAGTAATTCTTTCTGATGTGGAAGATCGGACTTAGCCCGCAACCACATAGCATACTTAGAACGAGACTAGAGCGAATAGATCGAGGGAGAAAGAATTGTAAATGTGGTGGTGTGATTTGGAGGGGGAGGGGGGAGGGGGGAAGGGTTCTATTTATAGGGAAGGATGGGAGGGTCTGCGAAAATTAATGGGGAGCATTCACCGCGTCCCTCAAAGGCGGTGAATGCATCGCCTTTTCCCAAAACAGTGCCTGACGCGGATCGAGCGACATGGCGTGCTGTGAGGCGTCGGATCTGGGAAGAAAACCACGATCCGCGACTCATCGCATCCAACGGCCACGGTGAGTGGGTCAGCGATGCAGATCGCTGACGCAAACAAACACGGGGTATTCACCGTGTTTGTCTAACGCGGTGAATACACCGCGTTTGTCCAGGTCAGCGATTCCCGTCGCTTCAACGTGGCATACAAAAGCGGTTTAATATACACCGTGTTTCACTAAAGCGGTGATATGTTCACCGTTTGACTCTAAAACGGTGATTGACTCGCTCGTTGTTCACCGTGTTAGAGAAGAACGGTGAATACATCACCGTTTTTTTTAAACGGTGAAATGTTCACCGTGTTTGACAAACGCGGTGATTATATTCACTGCCTTTGTCAAAAACGGTGAATACCAAACATGTATAGTATTGGGAAAAAATTTAACTAATGTATTTTGGAAATTTTTTTTAAGAACATGTGTAAAGCGGGATTTTTTCCTGCTTTCTATGTCTTCTTTACTCGTAGACACAAATCATGTTCCAACACAATAATACTTTCTTTTAGTTCTAAGTGAATAAGCCTCCAAGACCAATGTGGCCCAACCCAAACCACAATTCTTCTCTTTCCACAACATTCCATTTCCTTTTTAATACATCAACATTTGCTCATTCAATCAATTTCATCGAGCATCATATAATGGCATTGATTCAAGATAACATAAAGCCTATATAAGGAAATTGAACCAATTAGCTGCAATTCAATAATAACTTTATGAAACTAAAGGTAGGATAGTCTAACGGTAAAGCTGCCGCGACAGTGAAGACTTGGGAGTTGCAGATCTCAGGTTCGAATCCAAGTGAGACCTGTTGGTGTTTCCGGAGGAACAAGGCTGGTGGGGGCGAAGCCCTCTTGACGTCGAATTTGATTGCAGGTGGCCCCCAAGTTTATTAGGACCCTCTATCATAAAGTGGCACGTGGGGCTGAGATTCCTGGGTAATAAAAAAAAAAAGAATAACTTTAGACCATCTACAATGTGGGTGGTGGGAAATATGGGAAAAGAGGGAAAAGTGGGAAAATTGGTTGGTTTGGTCACAGTGTGGCGGTGAGAAAAGTGGGTAATCAGTTTAGTACTTTTTTGTTAAAATCAATCTATAGTTGACTTTGTCACTTTTTTTTCCATATAATGATCATTATTATTACGTACTTAGTGATAATCAATTAATACGAACATTTCGATATAATTTTTTTTTTAATTTGGAAATATTTTTTTCATCACTAATTAAGTATGACATCATTAATTTGGAAAAATGGCCGTTAAAAAATATGGCCGTTAAAAGTGACCGTTGCAAAATATGGCTGTTGGTTAAATTTGTCCGTTGGGGACAAAAACACAACTTTCCAAACAAGCTTTTGCTAAAATCAGGGGAAAAAAATAAAAAAAAAGAAAAGAAAGGGTTGTCCTTTCCCATCCTCCACTTCCCCCCACCATTTGTCTCATCTGGTGGGTTTTCCCACCCACTAAACCCACAAAACTCATTTAATTCCCTATTCCCCACATTGTAGTCACATTTCCCATTTTTCCCACAAAACCAACCCACATTGTGGATGGTTTTATGAATACAAATATAGGAGTAGAATAAGATAGCATAAAGATTCAAGTTAATTATAGATATGTAGGTATATAAAATTATAAATACGATCTTCACAAGCTATATTTACGATACTTCTTCACAAGCAAATTCTAATCCCCGCTACATACTAAAATAGAAAACAACTATTCAACTAGAGACAGATTAAGAAACTTCACATGATCATAACTCAACAATTGCAGGCTTCATGGTTTGAGTTGTATACTTGTATTCGAACCCTATATACATGTAGGGGTGTTCAAATGGTTACCATGGTTATAACCAAATCAAATAAGGCTAAATTACATTAACCATGGAATACAATATCATAACCAAACCGTCCAAACTAATACAACAACCAAATTAACCAAACTAAAGTTTAATCGGTTTGGTTAATTGGTTAACCAGATTAACCAATATAAAATCACATTATCATTGACGATGAAAATTTTCCGGTTAATGCAACAATTCGCAATTTATATAATGAATAAAACATAACAATCAACACGTAGTTATAGTTGACCCTTAACAAAAAAGACTTGCAACTAAGACAATTATCTTACGATTAGTATAAAAGTATTCACCTAAAAAAATTTTATGACAATGGTATGGGTTAATGAATTGTTGTGTTTGTGTAAATTGACTTAGTCTCTTAGCAATTATCATAGGCTGGAAATAACCTTCCTTTCAAGTTTTCATCCATCATAATGTATGAAATTTATCTAAATTAGGCGTCCATATGTTGTGGTCTACATTTTACATATACAAATATACACTATATGAGCAATATTGAGCTTTATATTTTATGAGTTTAAAAGGGATGAACGTTAACTCTTGAGTGGTTATGCAAAGTATTAAGTATGTGTATATAATATATGTTAGATATATGACTAATTACTTAACTGGTTAATTTGGTTTGACTGGTTAGGAGTATCTGAAACCAAACCAAACCACCTAAACCAAACCAAAACAATTATCCAAATTAACCAAACCAAATTATCCAAATAGTACCGGTTAAAACGGTTACCATGGTAACCAAACCGTTTGAACACCTCTACACCTCTATATACATGTGTGGAGTGGGATGTGGTGGGGGATGATGTTAGACGCCATTAAACTCATTCTCCTCCTCCTTGTAAACTTCTTAGCTTATTTTAGGGGTTTTAAGTGTAGAACTTAAAATAATGTTAGTTTTATCCTGGAAAAAAAAAGTCTCGTAAAGATATTGTGAAAACTCAAAACATTTTTTACGAGCCACTTTATCATAATTTTAATTTTAGTTTTTCAATTTCGAGCTATCATGCCTACACCCTCATCCATTTGAATCCAATAATTTTTAAGAGACCTATCAATCTCAAAACAACTCGTTTCCTTACTTGGGCACCATCACAGAGCAACTATCACTTCTAGTTTGACTTCATCACATGTTTTATCATGGCTCAGATTCAACAATGCAGATCGTCTTGATTACTTGCACCTGGCTGGCTGAGGGGTTCTCCTGGAAGGACAATGTCACAAATATGAACCGAGACTGTCACTTGATCTTTAGCATCCCATCGACTTCGACAATTTTCTCGCAGCTCAGCGTATGAGTTTTTAGCAATGTCAGAACTCAGTAGATAACATCAAACAAGGGTCCTAAAAAGCCGGACATGCAAATCATAAGATGACCTACCGCTCTTTTTCCCCATTAGTGTACAGAATGTTACTTATAGTATGGTAGTCTAGCGAATACCTAGCACATTCGATTCAAGGCCCTTTGGGTCAATCTCAAGGTTCCCGAAAGAGCAAATGTCAGAGTGGACAATCTCCCATTTAGTTACACCAGCTAGAATGAAAAACTAGCTCACTCACCGAGTTTAGTATAAACGCGATGAAGTTTCGTATAAGCTTTGGAGCAGGTTGATCGAGAAGGCCCCTTCCCTGGAGAATTGGCATTGATGTAGAACCAGTCTAACATGAACGAATCTTCATCTTTTGATCGACCGCCAGAATGACCTTTGCTTTGCATTGTCATCTGCCTAGACACTCTCCAACACAAATGGTCTTCTATTACCTTGAAACAGCAAACAGAAGCTGCGGGTTTTTTTTCATTTTACTTTCTCTTGTATTGAAGGTTCATATTTCATACATTAATAAAATAGATTTCATAAAGAAGGTTGTCACTTTTTCAACAACGTAATCTTCATAGTTGAAAAAACTTCTCAACACTTGTAGTTACATTAGCTACAAATACGTAATAGCTCGAGAAGCCAATAAATTTCAACGTACACTTCAGTTCCTTCTTTCCGTTTATGGAATCACATCCTCTCGTCCTATTTCGATTCACGAACATATATAGGTCCATGTCTGACTTTCCAGAAATTTATGACTTGATCGGGGTAGAAAATCATTTGGATCGTGTTTAGTGAGCTTTGCACAGCATATGGACATAAACACTAAGAGTCACAACATCACCTATTAACAACAACCACCACCTTCTAATCCTTAACTCTCCCTGCTTACCTCATACAATGTTGAACAAAGCATTATGTTTGCATTGAAGAGAGTATCGATGATGCGCCCTTGGTTGCTCGTGATAATCATGTCTATGCTGGTCTCTACGTACCCGCCCGTGATTTGCAATGCTGAACAGCCTCGCTGCTAGAGTTGGACCGATTCTTCGAGGGTGGTTGTACGCGATCTAACCAAAGCACTGCTGCTGCTACCGCTCGCTCCACATAAGAGTGCAGGAAGGGGTAGCAGCAGCAAGAGGCAGACAGACAGACAGATCTACACATAATGCAGTTATGAATGAGGGAAGACAACCGGTGAACGAGATAGCTAATGGTTCGTTTTCGTTTACGGCAGTAGCTAATAGACCACACACACAGCCTTCATGGTGTTGCAGATTCGAGCTAGGTTTCTCAGGACACTAATTTTCCTGGGAGAAAGGAAACATATGGATGCTTAGTGCCAGGGTTAATTGTGATGCGTTGCTGCTCTTCCCAATTGCAATGGCTAAAACATCAACTCTACACACAATCTAACAATACACTGGTTGGACACGAACCAAAGCCAATTCCAAAGTTGAGCACATTAGTGCATTCTGCCTCATAGATCATAACTCATAGTAAATCCTAATTCGAAAGCCATCATGAAATTAGGAACCCTAACCACAGCTGTGGAATCCCACCAAACATACAAACAGACTCTAATTATGACAGCATAATAACCAACAAGAGAAGGAGAAATCAGGAGAATTCCAAATCTACATCACTTATATGTATTCAACAAACAGTACACTGCATAGTGAAGTAAAACATAAGCCTGGACATCTTTCCAAAATTATAATCCCTAGAAGGAAGAGACGGAGAAGCTAACTGAGAATGGGGGAAACAGAGAAAGAAGAGCTCGCCTGCCATGGGAGGAGTTGAATCGCGCTCAGTTGATGTCCGAGTCGTCGAAATCGTCCTCGAAACTATTGAAGAAATCGGCGTCGGCGAGCTTGCTCTCGTTCATCATGCCTTCGCTGAACATTTCGAGCGGGTCAACGTCATCGACGTCCATCGCCACCGTCGATCCTTGCTCTTCCATTTCGGCGAAGAAATCCATCTGCATCGGCCTCATCTCCAGTGCTGATCTCCGATCAATTCCCTCGCCCTTTTCCCCGAGAAAAAAAAATCTACAACCCACGAATCGCCCGATGGAAATAGTAGTTGCTTGGCTAGTAGAAAGAACACAGTCATGCTTATATACAGCGAACCGACACCATACTACGGCGTCGTTCGCCCATCAGGAAACCCGGCGCGCATGAATTCCTGCTGCCAATGCCATCCGGTAAACAAAAGACTCGTCTTGGGCTTTTCGTGTATTTGGGCCGGCTCGTGAATGAAAGAGCTGAAGGCCCACTTGTATAGTCGAACGAGGGGGAGCAGTGGAACATCACTGCTCTTGCAATTGTTGATCGCTGTTTTCCCATTCCTGAATTCCTGGACGAAAATGTTCTTGCTAGTTTTGGCGATTTCGGTTTGGTTAACACTTCGTAAATCATTGGTTGATTACACAAACATGGATTGTTGTTGGCAATACAACATAATGTGCAGTCATTCTCATTATTGCTCCATGGGTTAAAGAACAAACAACTTCTGGAGCAGATAATGAGCGCATAAATACTACATTGCAGTGGTGGCCACACGGGAGTTGCAAGATGCTGGGTCTTGGAGGCAAATGCAGAGACCATCGTCACCGTCAGCTGGAAATGAGTTGGGGAGAGGATGATCCGGCATCACTCCCACCTACACAGAGAGGAGCCAGCAATTAACTGACTATACAGAATGGAGACACAGTCAGATTTGACGTGCGGCTGATTTAGTAAAATGAAACTCGGTCCAGCCAACCTTGTCAATGTCAATGTGCGAAGGTGTCTCATAACGAGCAACCGTCACAACCACACCTGAGCCATCGGATAGCTGGAACACAGACTGAATCTTTCTGCGAAAAAACATCAAAGGAATAGGGAATGATGTAGGAGTGTATTTGCATGCACTAGCTGTGAATTTATTGTGTAGAGTGAGCATATACATATAAGTACCCTTTGCCAAATGTGGGTTCTCCATATAACACTGCACGTTTGTTGTCTTTCAATGCACCGGCTAGTATTTCACTTGCACTTGCAGTACCCTTGTTCACCTATTCCATATTCAGAACGGAAACACTAATAATCAAGTGGCGGATAACTCTGGAACGGAGTGATATCATAATACCAAGGAAACATACCAAAACTGTTAGCGGATCTGAAGTTGCTAGGGCGCCACTTCCATCAGTGTCGTAAATGTCTCTAACACCCTTACTGTCACACACATATACAATCACACCTTTGTCCAACCTGAAAAATAAATTAAAATTGCTAAGAAACTTGGACTGATAGCAATGTGGCAAGGGGGGAAGCAACATCAGCTGGATGAATCCCCAAAAACAGCGGAGTGCGCGAGTCTTGGCTTACCAAATCTTGGCAATTTCAACTCCTTCTGGGAATAGACCACCACTGCAGCAAATTCAAGCTTTTAGAAAGATCAAGATACATAGGGACCAAGTCAAGAAGAGGAAGTTGCAGGAGAAGAAAGCTAATCACCTATTATTTCGAAGGTCTAGAACAAAGGTATTGACACCGTCGCTCTTAAAACTACTGACAGCTTTCTTCACAGCACCTGCAACAGTAAATTGTTTCATAAACCACACCCAAGATGACAGACTGAGACAAGCTTTCTTCTCAGTGAATGATGTTATCAAATCTAATGACAGTCAAAAACATCCTAACCATATCTGAAGTCCACTATCTAAACTGAATATTTTACTACCAACCTGCAGAATTTTGGCTGAATGAACTCAGTTTGATGTACCCAATCTTAGATGAGCCTTTCCCAGATTTAGGAATTTCACAAAGTTTAGTCTTGACTGGATTTAGAGACACCTTCTCCCGTCTGTTTAGCATTAGACAATTGGTTAACCCACCGAGACATATCTGCTCAAACAACATGCCCTGTAAAGGAGCACTGCTCCAATGATAGTCAAATGTACACTCACGTCAAACCCAGATGCTTTACTTCTGTACCACTGCGAATCGTCACTTCGACTGAACTTCCCTCTGGACCCCTATACCAGAGAACAAACGAAATTGATTTAACCCAAAATACTATTATATGAATGATTAAAAATGGTCTCTTGTATGTAGCCCTAAGATTTGGAAGTGGGAACAACAAGGTCCGGGTGGCATATAATGAATGTATAACTTATAACACAGAACGAATAGATACTCACTGTAGACGGTCTGCAGCATCATATATACCCATGCCTTCTGTGCTTTTATCATCTATTGCCATGATGATGTCTCCAGACAAAATGCCAGCCCTGTTTGCAGGACCTCCTGGGGAAGCTGAAATAACAACCAGCCCAGCTGATGATTCCCCAGACCGGCTAGGATAGCCTATGGACAGCCCTACACCAGTAAGAGAACCTTCTGTTCCTGACTGCCTTCACAGAAACACAAACGATTCTTAAAAGAAGACCCAATCGTCCATCCTAACCATTCAAAGCTACATCTCAAGTTTGTATCAGATGAAACCAAATTCCAAACTACCTCATACCCTCAAGCTCCTCAACTTTTCAGGTTCCAGAAACCTCGTGAAAGGATCGTCCAGCGAGGCAACCATCTTCCGTATAGCATTGTCTGTTGCATAAATAACATGATCAATCACTAACACTCATTAGTTAGGGACATTGGCAATTTAGACGATTTGAACATACGAACATACACGTCTCTTCGCGAGTATTCATGGGCTCGCTGCGCAGAGCTTCTTCTCTGTAACGAAACCAACTCTGTCCATTGAAAGTTTTGTCCACATAAGCACGATCAACCAATCTCCACGCCTCCAAGAACAGTAAATTCTCTTCGCTTAGGGCGCCTGCAGCAAAACGCAGCAATTAAAGCAATGAGTCGATCAACCACTGAGTTAACAGTTAGCGTCTCTGAGAAGAAAACGATTACTAGGGATTGAATCATTCTTCCAACAGTCTCCTAAAAAGAGAAAAGCAAAAACTCACTCGAATAAGCATTGCTGACGCCAAAAGATACGGAAGTAACCATCATCGCGGCAACTGCCAACTGGAACAAGAACTTCGAGGTGCGCTTCCCCAACTCGTCAGAGCAACTCATCCCTCTGAAAATCCCGGCGATGTGCTTCTTCAATTTGTTGTCATTGCTGCAGCTCGAGTACCCAACGCCCCCTCTCGGAGTCCATAATGACCGGATCGAAAAATTGCGCATCGGAACCTTCCGCAAGTTGTGAAATCGTGGCTGTACCTGAGCTTCCACGGCCCGCATAGGCAGAGATTTCCATGGCGGCGCCTGCAAGAAGAAAACGATACAGTTCATTTCCAAATTCGGTGACTAGGATGAAGTAAACCAGAATTAAGGCAGGCAACGGGGTCAATGGAGAACGAGGAAGGACCTGACGGCGAGTGGACGAAGCGGTGGCGCAGTGAGGAGAGAGAGATAATAAGGAAGAGATTGTCAGAACAGCCATGGCCGCCGGAGCATAGAGAAGCGGAGGCCCACCGGTAAAGTTGAAATTCAGGTACTGGAGTGAGTGAATGTGAGTAGCAACTGCCAACTAGCAAGTAGTTGTCGTTCTTCCCTTATCGCGAGTCGTTTTCTCGCCTCCCGGTTTCCAGATTGCCTGTGCTTTGGGCTTTTGGTTTTGGGCTGGGCTTACATAAGGAGAAGGCAGAAAAGCCTAAATTATTGTGGTATGGGCTCGGTATCACAAGATTGACCACTGTCAAAAAAAAATATCTCAAAATTGACCACAAATACTGACCATCATGTCCTAAAAGATGACCGATGATTTGCATTTTGCAGGGCACAAGAAAGTAGATCATCAGCATACTAATTTTTATCTAAACATTCTGTGTGCTTCGGAGCGTAGAAGAGTTCGAGTTGACAGGGAGAATAAATTTTCGATCAACTATTTGGAACAATCGCGCTTCTGGCCCTGTCGTCGCATATCGACTTTCGAATAACTTCGTTGACGACTTGGCGAGTCAATCGGTTAAAGAAGATGGCGAATACAGCCCTACAACTGTTGTTAGTGTCCAGCACATATAAATTTATATTTTGGTCAATAACCAACCAATGTGACACAGTTCTATCCGATTGTTCACCAATGTGCAGTACACTTGACACGGGACAAATACAGAACAGAACCTTCACTCATTGTTATCTCCATCTCTATCAAAAATGGCTAGCCGGATTTCAACCCACTTAAAAATGGCGGAAAACCCATTTTCTCATCACTTACAGAAGAATTGAAGGGGGGTGTGGTGTGATATTAACTCTACCAATATACAAATTACGATCTCTGTGTGGTGCAACGATCCAAAGGCGCAGTGTGTCTGAGACTGGGAACAACAGCCGGAGCGAGCAACTTCCATTCATTCATTCATCCATCTATCGTCAGCCAGTTGTCGAGGGAGATATCAGAGCAACTTGCTGGTTCTTCTTTTTGCTGGCCCTCCAGGGAAGAGCTTCATAATCCACCCCAATACTCTTTCTACAACCTGGAATATTGTTGGGAGATGATGAAAAAGGGTTGGTCAAGCAAGTAAAACGGCAGGCTGGGAATAAAGTTCCTCCTTTTATTGCCCCCGTAATCAAATAGTGGAGATGATAATCGAACATACCTCGTCTCCTTCGTCAGCGTATGCAGGATTCTCCTGCATGCTACGGGACTCAGGTAATCTAGTTGCGATGTTCTCGGTGGCCATGCTTTGAGCAGCCAAGAGCTCTAGTCTTAGAGTTTGAGTCTCGAGTTTACGTGAAAGATCCTTGTTCAAATCCTTCATTATTCCATGGGAAGAAAAGTAATACATTACGCAAGCACCATCAATGATAAACTATCATTCAGGAAATTATAAAGACATTCTCATGGCCTACGCATCTCAGGTGTTCAAACATATTGATAAGAGAAAGATCATTTTAGTATTGATTTAATCAGTTGGTCAAGTAATCAACTTCTAATTTCTACCTCCAGCTCATGAATCAATTTGATAGCTAATTCTTGTACATACCAAGTAAAAATAGAAAATTCCCCTCCAGGTTCCGACATAATAAGTCAATGATATAAGAAAACAACTTAATCAACTCAAAATTTACCTTCAACTTCGAACATTGAGATGACTCGGATGCTAAAGCTTTCATCAATTCTTCTTTTTCAAATGCTAACTGCACCACAGAAGAATTGGTTCTCAGTCTTAGATCTGGTTTCTACTTAAGTGGAAGAAACAGACATGGAGAAGAAGTAAAAGTTAAGCCAATGCCAGACCTCGGACATTATTTCATTTATATTTTGGATCATTCTCAACTGATCTGCAGGAATGTATGCAGGAGAAATTCCATTGTCTGGCTGTCCAATTTCAGGCGAAACAGAAGAACTAGGGACATTACTTCCAGTGAGTGCCGCATCCGAAGTTTCATGATCCGAAGTATCTGGAAAGACTTCTGGAATTAGTATGGCAATGTAGAAATTTAATTAGAAAAAGAAAATACATAAGTATTGCATAATACCATAATACAGACCCCAAGCATTTTATGATGTTAGGAAATCACAAAGTAGATTTGAAAAGTCACACCATAACAAGCAACTAGATGGGTTGCTCGCAACCAGAAATGCTGACAGGGAGCTTTTTCTTTCATTCTGCATAGGTTGATAGGTATATGCAAGGTGTGAGCCCATGGTTTGTTGGATGTTATCATCGACTACTACCACCAAGACAACCCCTTAAGGGTTACAAATGAACAGAAGATTTTAAATGAATGAGAACTGTTGGACGAAAATGTTCAAATAAGACAATGTATCTTTACCTAAATCTTCTGTAGATGTCGACATATCCCTTTTAACAGCGGTAATTTTTCCGGCATCGATAGATTTTCCACCAGTTGAAGCTTTCCTCAGTTTAGATTGCAAGAGTTTCTTCTCTGTTATCAAGTATACACATTGAGCAATTCCAGAGAAAATTTGCATTTTAATCGAGTAATGAACTAATATAGTGGGGGAATACCTTCCTGAAGAGCATCAATAGTTGAATGTAGATCTAGGCGTTCTCTCTCAAGGTTGGAGATTTTCTTTCTGCAAGATTATCAACCACTTTCAACATGAGGAAATTTGCCATTCCTTTTGGCTTATTCTGATTTTTCTATTGATACAACACCTTGAGCTAAAAGCAAGCTTATGACACAACTATCCATCAAAAAAACTTAAGTCACAATATCTTAATGCATTTCCTGAAGCCTTCCAATAGGGGAAAAACGTACACGTTCTTATTAGCCACCACTACTTAGCCCACAAATAGGCCACTTCTAAAAGTAATTAGATACACCATCAGGAGAAGACATGAGTGCAAGCCAAGATATTCTCGTTAATCAAAGTTGCAGATACATTCACATGTAATTTCTTCCAAACCGAACGTTTTCAAGAACTCAAAGGCTCTCCACATTATATAGTTATGGATTCGCAATGTAGGCATGCAATATACAGAAACTCAACTGCAAGGATCAACAGTGCATGAACAGCATGATTGAAAACAGAAAGAAAAAAACAAACTGAGACGAAAAATGAAAGGAAATCATACTTGCTAGAAGCAATCTCAGCATGTGATTTTTCAAGTTCTCTCTCTAGCTTAAGCTCATTAGACCTCAGTCTGAGTGCCTGCAATGACATCATTCCATTATGTTCGTTAGAAAGAATGAAAATATATATACAAGGGCTAGCGTACGCTAAAAGGATAATATATGTCTGTGCTCACACCTATTAGATGTACACTGACCCACTTCGACAAACAAAAACCTTCAGTATCTTTTGATTAAATTGGTCTTAGAGTTTTAGTTTAGAAACTTAATGATTGAGGTTCACCCATTAGAGGTTACTGTATAGTATCAAGCCTCAAGCTCCGGTTAATTCATAGTCTAAATAGCAAAACTCGCTTGGTGCACGATAAGGTTAGCTTACGCCTTAACTATATATATGTGCACGTTTAAGTTCACCACCAGCAACTGACATGCCTTCAAGGTGAAGAATTTCTCAAAGAAATAAGCAACAAATCCTCACTCCCAGACCACCCAATTGCTTCATACAAAAATCTATCTTGTTCTGATCTAAACCGCTCCAGCATATTATGCATTATACCAATCTAGTACAGGTTCTTACAGACTAACTCATAGCAACCCGCAGTTCAGGACCCTCATCAAAAATATATGGGCCACTATCATACCTGGAATAGGTCAAAGTATCGGTAACCAAGGATTCAACTAAATGGACAAACACAATCAACGACGTCCTTTAGATTAAGAATGGAAACTACAAATGCATACCATTTACCATTCGCAAGCAGGAAAAAAAAGTAAAACCATTATATAAATGGGATCTAATAGAGTTACTTATCCATCTAAACCTAAGAGCAAAGAACCTCGTTCAGACTGAAAGACAGAGGAGGGGGGAAGTATCAACGGAGAAGCCTTTCAATGCAGAAGAGGAAGCCAAGTCAATACCTTTTCTTCCAAACCTATAACCTCTGAAGCCAATAGCTTAGCTCGCTCATCAGCAGCATTACACTCCAGCTGTGCATTTGTATACTCAGCTTTCACAGACTCAAGTTCCACCTGCCAAACTCAATCATATATAATAAGAATATAATTAACCACCCAATAAATGAAATTTTGAGACATTCAAAGTTGTGTGACTCTAAAGCACTTAACATCCGAATAATGGAATCACTGCTATAATCGAGCAAGTTACAAATGCAAGATTAATGGGATCACATAACGTGTGTTACCATCAAAAACTTCTGTTTCCTCGGATATGAGAAAACGTAAGCGATGGTATCCGTCACTCTTTGAGCAACTAATTCTTTATGCATGTTCGGTGGGATTGTCCAGTCACCACACACAGATAATTCACGCTATTCAACTTGTGGTAGTCAATAGCAAACTAATAAGTAGCAGCAACAAGACAACCTGGATGTGAAAGCTATTGCATTGACGCGCAAGTGCTAGCAGCCAGAGACAACTTTCCTAAGTCAAAACAACCAAATTGTAGCAGAAAAGCTGACAGATGAAGCATCTTACTAATACGATTTGGCCTGGGTAGCAAGTTGGAAGAGCCTAAATCAAAAGACTAATATTTAGATTAAGCAACTTATCTCCACTGCTTTCCACTGGATTAAACAACAAAGTAATGCAGTAAGTATGACCATGCATAAAAGATATCTAAAAGTGCATCTGCTTCATAGAAAACTTTAAAAATCACCATTACTAACCAAATGGGCCCTGATTTCTTCTTGTAACTTCTCCATCTCTGATTTTAGTTGGTTGACAGTGCCTCTCTGAAGCAAACAAATTAAACAAACCAAAAGATGATTAGGGACATAACAGTAAGGAATTATCCATCTGGAGTCTACTTGCATGTAATTGTGTTTCAATAAGTTACATATGAAGGCGTTCCAGTTTTTTTCTGAATGAATATCTGCAAACAATGCAAGCAAAGTCCTGATAAACTCCGTTCATCCAGGCTTCAGTAGAGGTGTATAATAATTACTCAATACAATACCCTTCGTGCTTCTATTAGTGGAACCCATCTGACTTATAAGTAACGATTGAAATTCATTCTTCTCAATTTGTTAATTTGACAATGAAGGACTTGAGCTTTCAACTGTGTCATAAAGCACAGGAACATCGACTTCCCCAAAAAAAATCATTGATTGAGAGTTGAGACTCATCAACAAATCGAATATTAAACCTGAAGTGAATACTTAATGGCAGCTTTGAGAGAGAAAAATATTACGCCTACAGAGTTCACAATTCGCACATAAGTAACCTACATGAAATCATCTCGGCTAACAGAACAAATTCAGAAATTGCTAGAGCCCAATCATTAATGGCATAACAGGTTGTCCGACACTTGTCACTCAGCTACAAGAATATCAAATGTTCACATCATAGAGATAGTCACTCAGTTTTTTTCTGACACAAAAAGAAATGTTGTCCGCTACAAGTTCAAAAGCACAGTAGATTTAGTCATGTATTTCTTCAATCATAATAAGGTCAACTGCGTACAGAAAATATAACATATGTTCATGCCAAAATTATCTAGGTTGTCAAACCAACCTGTTGATTATAAGTATCAGTCAACGACGTATTTTCGGAAGCCAAGGACTCAGCTAATGCACGTGAAGCTTCCAGCGCTCGTTGCAGTGAAAATTTCTCTTGGGTCAAATCTTCTATGTGCTACATAACAACCCATTCAACAAGAATGATTGTCAACACAGGTCCACATACAAAGCAGTAATACCAACAGACAAGTTAATGAAGTATACGAAATACTAGTAGTCATAAGAAAGGAATTTTCAACTCTACATGCTCTTTAGAAACAAAAGGTCAGCAAATGCTTTAACTGATGGCATCAGATGTCTAGGCCCGAATAATACCAAAAAAAAAGGACTAGTTTTGGCCATTCCAAACTTTAATACTATTTCCTTGGGAGCTGTAAGTTTTATGGAGTACTTCATTAGATAGTGTAAAACAACTCAAGTGTGCTAAGTGAAAACTGGAAAAGAGTAAGGAATTGAGAATGTTGACAGTGAAGAACCAGAGCAGGTAAATAAAACCAGAAAGGCAAGCTCACATGATCACATCAGCACCGTGCCCCACAGTCATTCGTTTAACTCATTCATAATGCCTTAAGCCGGGACTTAGTTAAACAATAAGCTTGATATGGAAAGGCCAGTCAATATGTTCTTAGTATATCAGGAATTACAAAAGATACGTAGTAACTAAAGACCAAAATGCTATCAGGAAGATGGCAAGAGTTGTTTTGCCCAAAGATCTTTCTATTTTGAAATAAACAATTTGACATGCACACACCTGCTTCGAAACTAAGGAATAACAATAACTAAACCAGGATGCTATTTCAACCATATTAAGATAAGTGTGTAAACCTGTTCCAATGCTGAAAAATCTTCATTCTGTTGAGGGGCATAAAACTCATGTGTTCCCTCTATATTATTGTCATTGATATTTGATCTTGGTACATCAAACCCATTGGAAGAGGACACTGAAGATTTCCATGAATGTTCATACACATCTGGTGCACTGGATGACTTGGATTTTGAGAAAGGTCCCATTTCAGTATCCACAAATGGCTTAGTAAGGGTTGATGGCTCTTGAACATCTGTGCCATTTGAATTTGAAGTAACAGGCATGAAAGATTCATATGGTTTGCTTTGTGAGAATGGAGATGCCAGTGTAGGTCTTGCCACATTGATAGAATCTAGGAAAGATGGACGAGACCTCCTGGAATTAGTTTCATATTGACCACCATGTAATGATGCATGATTCGATGAATCCTTGACACCTGAATTAGACGTGGGTTCAGACAATTGGGTAGAATCACCATGAACTCCAGGCAACCAGCTAGCCAAACTTTTAAAATCTCGCCTCCCAAAATCTGAAATTGTGGAATCGCTAGTCTGCAATGTTCCACGCATTTCTTTCTCAACTCCATTACCTGAACCTCTTAAGTTCAAGTTGGTATTAGGTTGACTGCTATCAACTGTAAAACCCAAGACACAAGAGAAAAAATTGCTTTATTAGTACAAGTAGAATCAAATAACCTAGGAACAAGCCATGCTTAGCAACATCAAAGTTTGCTGAAGGAGACAGTACCAGGCTTAGCTTCTGAGTTCGAGAAGATAGAACCCCGGTTAAGAGAAGATGTTTGAGAACCAGGATTCGCAACTATAGAGTCCCATGATGAACTTTTATATTCTTCATGTTGGAACGCATCTGTCCCGGAATGTTTGTAATGGGAGAAACTACTATCAAAACCCTGGTCAACCTGTGGATTCTTAGCCTGGTGAGACAGAATCCCGTCCGGTAGTACACCTTGGCCAGAAGCATGAGCACTAGAATCGCGTATTGAATTTGTTAGACCATACTTGGTAACACCTTCCCTCTCTATGCCTAGGGCATCAGATCTTGTCAGATCACTATTCTCAGCACTTCTCTGACCTATGTCTGAAAATATTGTACTAAAATCATTTAAAGCAGATGGACTGGCATTCGCAATTTTGGAAGTACTGTGTTCAACTTTGGTGGTAAGATTATCTCCCTTGTTTCTTTGACTGGATATTTGAAAAGTCACACCAGATGCACTGGAGGTACCAACTCCATCTGAAGCTGTAACCCTTACTTGTTCAGTCTCCAAAGGTTTTTTCTCCAACGGTTTTTTCTCCTCTATGTTAACATCAGAACCTTGAGATTGAGCGGGAGCTCCAGCTTTCTTGGCTCGATCTGCTGCTTTCTTCTTGCGGAACTCTTCCAGCTGCAACAGAATAAAACCATCCAAATTACATGAACCCGTTGAATATACTGTAAGATGGGCAGGGAAAAACATCAAACTGTAATGCTTGAGATATATGTCCCTCCAAGAATGACAGGATTCAGATACCCTAGTGGCCGAAGATATGAAAGCTCATGGAACTATAAATCATATAACTTAATAAGGACCCCAATGCCCAAACTTGACTACTGCTGCCATTCCAACAACAATTATCGTTTATAGTCTCGGAATAAAAAGATGCATGATTGGCTGAAATACTATTTTCTAAGCTAACCAACCAATAGTATATAGTTATATCCAAAATGAAACCAAGTTTCAGTTTGCCCCATTCCTTGCAATGAATGATGTACTCACTCATGTTAAAAACATCCAGAAAACAAGCAAGAATCCTACATCTTAATCCGGTTCACAACCTCAAGGGATCATATTTGTTCAGAAAACCCCCATAACAGAGACGAAAACGCAAAGCCGACTGCAGGTCATTTGAGCCTAGATCAAATGACAGGAGGCTGAATTCACAAAATTTTCAAAAAAATGGAGAATAATCAAAGAACATAAGAAAGTAGATCAGAAGCGGTAATTCCAAAGAATAACCCATATCACAAAAGCCAAAATCAACGGAGGAATTCCAGCGGTCCAAATCAATGAATTAGATAGCAAATGCATGCACCTACCCTCCTTTTCCCAGCCTCGAGGTGCTCCTGTTTACGCAACACCTGAACCGACGCCATTAGAACGCTCCTTATCTATCTGCCCCGCCCCGTCGGCTAATTTCCAGAAATCACCACCCCGAATCGCATACAAATCAAAGGCGTCCGCGGGTACAATCCAGCCGGTAAAAAAAACGGCGATTAATCCCCGCGAATCACCATATAAAGAATAGGATCCAAGCCGTCGCGGGAAGGGAATTAGATGAGGAAAACAAGAATGCGGATGGAGTGGCAAAAATTTTCCCCACAAACGGATTGAACGGAATCCTGATTGGGATGTTGAATCAGGCACGATTAAGGAAACCCTAGAATCCTGCGTCGAACGGACAAGGGAGAGCGGAGATGGCCCCCGATCAGATCGGGGGTAAGGAAGAAAGGAGGACGGAGAGATTTGAGAGAGGAAAAATGGCCTATTGTTTTATATAATTATTTTTTTCATCCTCTCTGTTCTTTCTTTCTTTCTTCCTTGTGCAAGTTTAAAATTTGGTGGGGAAGAGACAGATGGTACTATGGGAGCAATTTCGCTAAGGGCCGTTCCCAGATAAGAAGTGTTGTGCTGGCTACCGCTTGCAGCTTGCAAACGAGGTCGCTGCATGCGCACAGTTGGGCTGGCCATGGTCACTAGGGCTAGGGATGTACAAGTACCTCGCAACCGACACACCCGTGCCATCCAACACAATCCAACCCGAATGTCACCGTTTTATGAAGAAAATGAGTGGGTTTGGGTGTTAAAACTTGAACTCAATAATTCTCAAATTGGATATGAGTTTGGGGATGTTGAAACCATAGGAGTCTGAACCTTTCACTCCTTTTAAATTAATCATTTGCACACGGTTATATTAATTGATTTTAAGGTGCATCAGTTGCGTAGCTTTACCCTACCGGCTTTGTGTTGATCCATTTCTTGTTCTCTTAGTCAATTCCACTTCATACTGTTGGGTTGGAATTAAAATAAGGTAGTGGGGAAAATTTGAAAATAAAGTTGGGAGCATGATTGTTCTTTTTTATTTTATCTTTTGTGTTCCTGTCCTTATGAAACTCTCAAGAGGTACAAGGACAATGATTTCGTAATCCAGTTCTTATAGGGTCTCAATGGGGAGTACCAATCAGCTCGTACCCAAGTTCCGATGCTCCTAATTTTGCCACACATTGACATTGTGTTCAAGCAAATTCTTCAAATGGAGCGTCAATTGAAGTATGAACAAGGGATCTGCAATGGAGTCAATTGCTCTTGCTGGTGGTGGTTCACACAACAACAATTCTCAAAAGGGGAGAGGCTATCAACAGCCATACCCGCAACAACAAACCCAATAGTCAGATGGCAAGAAATTTTGTGTGTAATGCAAGAAGGAAGGTTACCTCATTCGTGATTGTTTAAAGCTAAAGAACAAGAAAGCTAGAGAGGCAGCAGATGCTGGTTTTGCAGGATCTGATGAAACATCCTTGGTTTAGGACTCTGGACCTCCTCCCTATGCTTCCCGAGCTGGACGCAGATTGGACCATTTGTTCACTCAGGATTAGGTGGAGAAGCTCAAACTTCTGTTGAATCAGTCGCCTTCTCCAAGTCCTTCACCTCCATCATCACCATCAATTCACTCTGTGAATGCTGTGGCTCGAGCTGCTTCTCAGCAGGCTTACTTCCCTTCTAGTTCAGGTACCACTTCTCTATCTTCCTTGATTGCCTCTTCTGGAGAACCATTGTGGGTCCTGGACCCAGGTACCACATATTACATTGTGTGCGATCTCAAGTATTACATTAAGTATAGAGTCATGAGTGAAATTTATGTGACTCTTCCTACTGGTGAACAGGTCAAGGTCACACACATAGGGGTAGTTAAGCTTCCACGTGGATTGTTTCTTTACCAAGTTCTATTTGTTCCTGTTTTCAGCTACAACCTAGTGTCTGTTAGTAAGTTGACCAAAACCAATCCAGTTTCCCTCACCTTTCAATCATCTTTCTATGTTATACAGGACCTTATTACACATAAGAGGATTGGTTTAGCCCAAGTTGATAGAGGCCTCTACCTGTATACCAAGACACCAGTTCCCACTTCCTCCAAATGTCTTGATGCTTCCACCTACAACCTTCACCCTCAAGTCTTTGATATCTGGCATGCCAGATTAGGCCATCCTCGCATATCTAGAGTTCAAGTTGTTCACAAGAAATTTCCTGTTGTAATTCCCTCTAAGTTTTCCCATTGTAATGTTTGTCATATTGCAAAACAGAAACATCTTCCATTTCCAGATAGCACTTCTATTGCTACTGTTTTTGGTATCATCCATGTAGACATTTGGGGTCCTTTGAATAAAGCTTCATACAATGGTTTTAATTATTTTTTGACCATAGTAGATGATCATTCTAGATGTGTGTGGACCTTTCTCATGAAATCCAAGGATGAATCTCGTTCTCTATTGAAATCTTTATTTTTTATGGTTAAAAACCAATTCCACCAAACAGTTAAGATTATCATGACAAATCAAGGGCAGAAGTTTTATATGAATGATTTCTATAAGGAACATGTAATTTTTCATCAGATGGATGTGGTTTATACTGCTCAGCAGAATGGGAGAGTAGAGAGGAAACATCAACATCTGTTGAATGTTGCCAGAGCTCTTAAGTTCTAATCTGGCTTACCTTTGTAGTATTGGAGTGATTTCATTCTCCATGCTGCCTACTTGATCAATCGTACTCCAACTCCCATCCTGCACAACAAAACACCCTTTGAGGTGTTACACAAGTTCCCTCCTGACTACAACAACCTTAAAGTTTTTGGCTGCTTCGCTTATGCATCTACAGCAGGCCTCCTCGAACCAAATTTGATGCTAGAGCTACTCGGTGTGTGTACTTAGGAGTTCCTTCAGGTATCAAGAGTTATAAAAATTTTGATCTGGCTACCAAAAGGTTTTTGTTTCTAGGGATGTGATCTTTTATGAACACATCCTCCCTTATACAAATCCTTCTTCTTCTCCTTCAGTACCATCTCCTCCTTCAACCTCCACTGCTCCTTCTGTGTTTCCTGACCCTTTCACTTTTTCATCTAATCCTACTGGTTTTCCTTTTCCCTTCCCTGATACCTCTAGTTCCTCAGTAGATCATCAGTATGAGGAGGCCAGTTCCCCCATTTCCCCTCATTTCTCTCTTCCACATCCTGATGACTCTCCTGAGCCAAGTTCCACTTCCGCTTATAAAATCTTTTCTCCTACACCACATTCTTCTTTTCCATCTTCCTCTCATTCATTCTCTCCATTTCCTTTACCTCATGAGGATTCACACGCTCCTCTTTGTAAATTCAACAGAGAATCCAAACCTCCTAGCTGGCATTATGATTATCATGTTCAGTATCCTGCTCGAGCATCTCTGTCACATTCCCACTTAAATTCCAAACACCAAAGTTTTGTTAGCACACTGAGTACCCACATTGAACCTACTTCTTATGCTCAAGCTTCACAGAGTGCTGAATGGAATCAGGCAATGAAAGAAGAAGCTAGTGCTTTAAATGAAAATCAAACTTGGGATGTTTGTGGTCTTCCACCTGGTAAAAAGGCTATAGGATCAAAGTCGGATGGAGATATAGAGAGACATAAGGCAAGGGTGGTTGCAAAAGGTTACAAAGATGGTATTAGTTAAGGCTTTGTTGTCTGTTGTTGCAATTAAGGGTTGGCACTTACATCAAATGGATGTAAGCAATGCTTTCCCAAATGGGGATCTAACTGAAGAAGTCTACATGGAATTACCACCTAGGTTGGATAACATTCCAGAATACAAGGGAAAGGTGTGCAGGTTAAGAAAATCCTTGTATGGCCTTAAGCAAGCAAGTCGCCAGTGGTATGCCAAATTGACTTAATCACTTCTCAAGCATGGTTTTAAACAGACTATCTATGATTACTCCATTTTCACTGCACAAATCCTTGTAGAGTTGGTGGTTTTGATTGTGTATGTTAATGATATAGTGCTTGGGAGTATTAGTTTGGATTCCATTAATGCAGTAAAGAAAATAATGCAAATAGATGTTAAAATGAAAGATCTTGTTGGATTGGAAGTCACTCGTGGAAGAAGGGGAATCACAGTGTCCCAAAGCAAGTATAGTCTAGAAGTTCTTGCTGAGTCTGACTTTGAAGATTGTAAACCTGCTGCAACTCCTATCTTTGTTAAGGAGGTACTTTCATCTGCAAGAGGCCTACTTTTAGAAGATATCAGCAACTATAGACATTTGGTGGGTCAGTTGCAGTATCTAACAACTACAAGACCTGAAATAACATTTGTTGTACAACAGTTATGTCAGTTTCAAGATAAACCTACGACACTACATCTTAGAGCACTACAACGTGTTCTGAGATATCTAAAAATGTCACCCTGTCAGGAGTTTCTATACTCATGTGATTCTAGTTTACAGTTAACTGGGTATAGTGACTTGGATTGGGCTACTTGCCCTGACTCGAGAAAGTCCATCACAGGATACTGTACCTTTCTTGGATCAGGGCTAATAAGCTGGAAAAGCAAGAAGCAGAGCACAGTGTCGAGTTCCTCGTCTGAAGCAGAGTACAGAGCAATTGCAAGTTTAAGTTGTGAAGTTCAATGGCTAGTGAGGCTGCTGGCGGATTTTGGAACCACACACAATCAACCAGTACTTGTCTCTTGCGACAATTAGTCAGCAATCCATATTGCAGAGAATCCGGTGTTTCACGAACAGACAAAACATATCGAGGTCGACTGTCATGTGATAAAGGAACGAGTCCAATCAGGTTTGATTTCTCTGCATTATGTGCCAACAGAATTTCAAATTGCTGACATATTCACCAAGAGTTTGTTGGTGGATAGATTTGCCATGTTATTGTCCCAGCTGGTAGTATATGATCTATACTCGCCAGCTTGTAGGAGGGTGAAAAGGAATGAAGCAGTTCATCCTCCTGATGTGGTAGTTGCTCCTGCTGGGATGAGCTGTAGAGGAAACTTTGTTACAGTCGCAGAGTCAAAAAAGCCAGAGGAAGAAGAAAGGGGAAGCAACACAGCGTTTTAGTATATATCAGAGTTAGTTTATTGTATAGCTTTTATTAGTTAGTTAATTCTCAGTTGTTTTAACTTCTAGTAAATAGTAGAAATTGTTAATCTTTTGTTACTCTGTATATATACTTCGATCAATGGAAAAGCTCACAATGAGCGATTTTCCCAAACCCTATATGTGTTGTATTTGCTTTGTTCTCACCAACTCCAAAATTATTGTACCAAAAGTTACTGGACGATCATGTCCTAAAAGATGACCGTTGAATTTAGGGCACAAGAAAGTCGAGCTGCAACTAGACTCGACAATGGTCGTTCACGTGCTTTTAGAAAATGTTCCGGTAGATCATCAGTATACTAGTTTTTATCTTAGCATTACGTGAGCTTGGGAGAGTTGAGTTGTCAACACATCCCTCTATAATATATAGCAGTACTTCATGAGAATTTGAGTATTTCAAATTCCTTGCATTTTCCTTAATTGTAGTTAGGGGTAAATTTGTATGTTCAACTTAGAACTTAAATATCTTCTTACGAGAGAGAAAAATGTCATTACAAAGACTTGAACTCGAGTCCTTTAGATTAATAATCAATACCCCTAACCAACTGGACTACAACAATGTTTATGTATGTTTTGAATTAAAGAGAGAAAATACTAAAATATCTCAAAATCATAGGACTATCCACCGCAACAATCAATCATCGAATTAATTAATAACTGTACTTATTTACAAAGTGAATCATCATGATATACCTAGATTTATGAATTAGCTAAGTGAGTTTCTCTAATCACACAATTCTTCACCAAGAATCAAATAGTAAATTTTGAGTTTATGTATGTCTTACAACTTTTCATTTATTAGGTTACATGACTTTGTAGTTTGTAGGAATACAAGGATTGTTTACAAAAGTGCTATACAAATTTTTATTTCAAAACATAAAATTTGACATTTGTGATCTATGGTTTTGTAACGAGACATTTTCAATGTTATAAGTGAATGACAAAAAATCATTGGCTAACGATTTCCCTAATGGTGGACAATTATAAGCATAGAATTGAAAGACTAAATACCATTGACAAATGAGCCAATTATCATTGGCTAAATTTAACAAACAATGGTATGTGTATATACATTGGAAATTCTATGGTACGCCCGATGGATTGAGGGTTATTGCATCTCCTTACTTAAATAACATTATCTAGACCATAGATTAATCACGTAACTAAACCTTATATCATAATTCTCTAAATCCTAATATAGTGCATATGGTATGTTCTATACATCTTGGCGAATCAGAAACATTGATTATGTTCTTAGTATATGTGATATTAGGGTTTAAGTTCTATAGATTCAGGGTATATGATTTAATTATTTAAAATTTGGCTAAATTGCGAATTTTGTCACTTGAATTACTAGTAAATTTCATATTAGCCACTAGAATTACTTTATTCCATCGGTAGTCACTTAAATTAGGTTAACAGTTCAAGTTTGGTCACTGGCCGTTAGTCTCCGTTAACTTTTGCTGATGTGGCGGTCAACTCTAATAGTTGACCGTTAAATGAGTGACGTGGCAATTAAAAAATTAATAAAAAATAAAATTTAAACTTTTCTAATTTCCAACTCATTTTTACACCACCCATTGACAACAAAAAATCAACTTTTTTTGCCCTTCCTTTCCTCTGCTCATGGACGAACCCATCCATTTTTCCGGCCAGCTCCTTCACCGTCTTCTCGAACTTCCACCGATCCGGCCACCTGAGTAACGGCACGAAATCAACCGCGTTGGTGGCCCCACCAAGCTCCACCGCCTCTTTCATTATGTTTGTGAAGTACCTCGCCACCTCAACATCACTGTCAATAGCGATGCGGGAAAGTGATCAAATTGAAGGGGGGAAAGATGAAAAGAGAGTGTTCATCCAAGACCCACCATGGATTTCAGCTCTGTTCCTGAAAGGTATGCAGAAATTAGCTCATCGGGAAGTGAGAGTGGCGTTCAAGGATATCGAGAAGAGGAAGTATAATTTGCTGAGGAGGAGGCAGATTAAGTATGAGACGGAGGCTTGGGAAGGAATGGCGGAGGAATACAGGGGAATGGTTAGGGATATGTGTGAGAAGAAGCTCGCGCCTAATTTGCCTTACGTCAAAGATTTGTTCTTGGGATGGTTTGAACAGTTGAAGGAAGCTATTGAGGAGGAGCAGAAGTTGCAGAGGCGGAAGAAACATAAGACTGCTTTTTTTTTCTCAATGGGTGGTGTAAAAATGAGTTGGAAATTAGAAAAGTTTAAATTTTATTTTTATTAATTTTTTAATTGCCACATCACTCAACGGTCAACTATTAGAGTTGACCGCCGCATCAGCAAAAGTTAACGGAGACTAACGGTCAGTGACTAAACTTGAACTGTTAACCTAATTTAAGTGACTACCGATGGAATAAAGTAATTCTAGTGGCTAATGTGAAATTTACTAGTAATTCAAGTGACCAAATTCGCAATTTAGCCTTTCAAATTTCATCTCCCTTTTCAAATTTCCTGCAATGAGAGGGAAATTAGGAAGGATTTTTTGTCTTCACAATTATCTGTATTTTTTATTTATTTACAGAAAAAGATAGACATATTGAGATTTTAACCATTATCACTTCAAACAAACTGAAGGTTTAAAATCAATCAGACTATGTTGATTTGTTGTATTTTTTAAATTAAAAATATATAAGAAGCTAAAATATGAAATCACAGAACTTTTCAACAGTTAGCTAGCCCAATAAATATTTCGTAAGTACTTATTTGGTATTTTGATACTTCAATTTTGATATTTTTTATTTTAATTATAGTTTAATATTAATTTAAAATTTTATTTATCTTATAAATAGACGATAACCATAAATTGCAACCAAAATATTGTTGGTTCGAATATTTCATATCGAATTATAGTATTGAATATGTAGAAGCGATATAGAATTCTTAAATTACCATTAATTTCCAGAACTATAGTGAAGCAATCATATCTTTGTGCAAACTATAGGGGACTGGTTCTCTGAACATTTTTGTCTGGTTAAATACTAAGTTTTGAAACTCTTCCTAGGGGTGTACGTGGGTCGGTTCGTTTGGGTTTAGATATTTTAATCACCTAACTCATATACCACGATTTTGAAAACACTAAATACAAACTCACCCAAATAATTTAGAATTTTAACGGTTTGTGTCCTCCATACCAAATGAACCAATTTACATGTCGCTTAGCTTAGGACGATCTCATTGTCCAATCCTATCATTCTAATGTCAATCCATAAAAGTAACTCATATTCGCGTTTTATAACACATGTTTCACATTGTCATTACTGTGACCGGTAACTTCGTTGCAACTAATTCGATATTGCTCTTCATATGGCCTCCAAATTGATAAACATATCGGGCCAACAGTTTTATGACAAAACGAAAGTATAAATAATATATTTACCTTCACAATTATTAAACTTATTTATTTGTAGAAAATAAATAAGTATTGGAATTTGAACCAATGTATATTCCAAAAAAGACAAGAATCATAAGCCTGATTGTCAACCCAAGTTTGACATGGTTGGGCGAATCAGTTTTTCCCAAACCCGAGTATTTGTTAGGATGTTGGAGGCCCAGTTGGTTATCAACCCAAACTTGGTCAAACTAAGAAAACCAGTTGAATTAGGAAATCGAGTTGATTCAACTAACTCATCTAAGCACTGAGTCACTTCAAACCGACATCATTTTCAACAAATCTAATCACTAGCTCTGTTGACATGTCGTCCTTTTCCTTATCAAAGACCCATGCAGTAACATACATCAACCACCCATGTTCAGTTTTCTCATAATATTTTTTTTCCTCCTTTAGTATCGGTAGGCAACAATACAAGTCCCAACCATCTCAAAAACCAACACAGTTCCTCAGTAGTCAATTTCATTTTCCTTTCAGCAGCAAGGTCACATCGCCAATCAACCACATCTCAAACAAAGAATAAGTCACAAGATTTGATGAATATATATTTGGATTGAGACTTGGTGTAATTAACAAAGACTAATGTCCTCATTTTTTTATATACATGAAATCGAATTGGAGAAGAAGAGTAAGAACATTGAGAATAGAATATGATCTGCAATGAAAAAAAAACTAGAAAATGAAATGGAAAAAGATAAAAAAGAAAGAGGGAAGAGGGAAGAGATTTAGAATTAAAGCATCAGTTTCAAGTGAGATAAAAATATAAAAATGAAACTCAATTTCAACAAATAAGTTATATTAAATCGTCATTGTATCTAAATTTATCATAGAAATTTCATAAATATCTAAGCATAATACATGTGAAATCAATAAAATTTTCATGCACCTGGGTAAAGCTAGGCTTAACCAGGTTAATCCAATTCATCCATTAATCCTTAACCCACTTGCTTAAGCGACTCATTGGTGGAATCGGGTGACAACCTTGGTCATAACAAATTAGACTGAACAAATTTGTTGTATATTTTTTAATGGGTTATAGGTATAATATACTCCTCTATTATATAGATATATCAATTAAGAACTCTATCATTCACTAATGCATGCAATTTCAGTTTCCAAACATATTTTACTCAAATGCTTTTATATAATAATGAATGACTCCCTAAATTTTGCTTAGTTTTCAATGAAAGATGAGATGTTGTTAATTGATTTATGAGCTCAAATATACCTACATACCACTATAGCTACAATCATTGTGATCTTTTGTTGTTCACTCACATCTACCAATGTTTACAGGTTCATATTTTGCTATGAAATTTGGATAAAGAAACTTTAAATCTCACACATTTAAAAGTAGGAGATGGAAACTATGTAAATAAGTGATTGCAAATTTACTATTTTGAAACCCAAAATTGAAGGAATTTAGATCATCTCATTTCGCAGTAAATTAAAAAGTCTTGTGGGAAAGTGATACATTTGCGCTGGATGTGGTGGTGAATGAACAACTAATGCCAAACACTCCACTACGAATTGCAAAAAAAACATCCTTCCCAAACCCAATTTATTACCAGTCAAATCATATTTGGTAATATCACTTGAAGGTCATACCAATAAACGACTATTTAGTTTGATTCTAAATTGGATCTATTACATTGGCTAAAAAAATGAATATCAACTCTAATGTAATTTTTGCATTTTTTTTTTGTATAACAAACATAAATGTGGAAACACCGATAATGAATGTGTGAATTGGTTTAATGCGAATAGCTAGATGGTCGATATTTCGTTATAAGTATAATTATATGGACTCAAATAGATTCAAATTGTAGGTTCGACCCAAATAAATATTTTTTTAGCTCTCTCCCACATTCCATAATTAGTAAATTGAAGTAATCCGGCCAACAGGCCGGATCAAAGCTAGTTCGTGTTTATAGGGAGACTAATTTTTCAATCAACTATTTGGCATATTAGGGCCACTCCCTCAATCCTGGAACTCATTTAGTTCGCGCTTCTGGTCTTGTCGTTGCATATTGACTTTTGAATGACTTTGTTCGACTTAGTCATCAATCAGTTAAAGAAGATGACGAATACAACCATCGAGTGTATACTATACAACTTTGTTCATATTTGGTCACTAACCAACCAATGTCACACAGTTGTATCCGATTGTTCACCAATGTGCAATACACTTGAGACAGAACAAGCACAGAACCTTTACTCATTGTTATCTCCACCTCTATCAAAAATGACTAGCCAGATTTCGACCCATTTAAAAATGGCGGAAATCCCATTTTCTCATCACTTACAGAAGAATTGAAGGGGGTGTGATATTAACTCTAACAATATACAAATTACGATCTGTGGTGCAACGATCAAAAGGCGCAGTGTGTCTGAGACAGAACAACAGCCAGAGCGAGAAACGTCCATCCATCCATCGACAGCAAGTCGTCGGGGGAGATATCAGGACAGCTTGCTGGTTCTCCTTTTTGATGGCCCTCCAGGGAAGAGCTTCATAATCCACCCCAGTACTCTTTCTACGACCTGGAATATTGTTGGAGATGGTGAAAAATGGTTGGTCAAGCTCAAGCATGTCAAACGGCAAGCTGAGAACAGAGTTCTTCCTTTTCTGGCCCCGATAATCAAATAGTAGAGATGATAATCAAGCATACCTCGTCTCCTTCGTCAGCGTATGCAGGATTCTCCTGCATGCTACAGGACTCGGGCAATCTAGTTGTGATGTTCTCGGAGGCCATGCTTTGAGCAGCCAAGAGCTCTAATCTTTGAGTTTGAGTCTCGAGTTTACGTGAAAGATCCCTGTTCAGATCCTTCATTTTTCCCAGGCAAGAAAAGTAATACATTATGCAAGCACCATCAATGATCTCAAACTATCATTCAGAAGATAATCAAGACAGACATTCTCATGGCCTACGCGTCTCAGGTGTTCAAACATATTGATAAGAGACAGATCATTTTAGTATTGATTCAATAAGTTAGCCAAATGACCAACTTCTCAATTAACAACATTTTTCCAACTTCTAATTTCTACCTTCAAAATCTAATCTGAACTAATGCTGGCCCTAATGGCTAATATTGCTTTATCTTTCTGCATGTCAAATTTTACCACTTCCTCTTCCTCAAAACTCAATTTGTTGGGCTAATTGTCAGTTTTACAGCACTCAAATATTTCAATAATTTATGTACCCTTACAAGTTGCGGGATCACATAACATTTCACAACCATTTGCTTATATGTAATGATTTTTTCACACTTACATTTCTACTATTTCCTTCAGTTGACAGTTTCAGGTCATGTATCAATTAGATAGCTAATAAGTGCACACTTAACTAACTAACTGAAAGAAACAATATCTTCTTGTACAATTGTTTTTCACTTAGTAACTGCCATCTAATTCTCGCAGAAAATCAAAATAGAAAATTCCCCTCCTGAGTTCCGACATAATAAGTCATGCTATAAGAAAACAACCAAATTAAGTCAAAATGTACCTTCAGCTTCGAACATTGAGATGACTCGGATGCTAAAGCTTTCATCAATTCTTCTTTTTCAAATGCCAACTGCACCACAGCAGAATTGGTTATCAGTCTTAGATCTGGTTTCTACTTAAGTGGAAGAAACAGACATGGAGACAGTAAAAGTTAAGCCAATGCCAGACCTCAGACAGTATTTCATTTATATTTTGGATCATTTTCAACTGATCTGCAGGAATGGATGCAGGTGAAATTCCATCGTTTGGCTGTCCAATTTCATGTGAAACAGAAGAACTAGGGACATTACTTCCGGGAAGTGATGCTGCTTCTACGGTTTCATGATCCGAAGTATCTGGAAAGACTTCTGGAATTTGTATGGCAATGTACAAAATTAATTAGAAAAGAAAATACAAGGTATTGAATAATACCATAAAACAGACACCAAGCATTTCATAGTTTCAGGAAAAACAGAAAGTAGATTTGAAAAGTCAAGCCATTATAACAAGCAACTAGATCGGTTGCTCACAACAAGAATTGCTGACAGGTTGCTTTGTCTTTCTTTATGCATAAGTATATGTTAATTCCAAGGTGTGAACCAATGGTGTGTTTGATGTTATCATCGACTACTACCGCCGAGAAAACCCCTTAAGGGTACAAATGAACATAGGATTTGAAATGAATGAGAACTGCACGGACAAAAATGTACAAATAAGAGACTGTATCTTACCTAAATCTTCTGTGGATGTCGACATATCCCTTTTAACAGCAGTACTTTTTCCATCAATAGATTTTCCACTAGTTGAAGCTTTCCTCAGTTTAGATTGCAAGAGTTTCTTCTCTGTAATCAAGCATACACATTGAGCCATTCCAGAGAAAATTGTCACTTTAATTGAATAAGGAACTAATATAGTGGGGGAATACCTTCCTGAAGAGCATCAATAGTTGAATGTAGATCTAGGCGTTCTCTCTCAAGGTTAGAGATTTTCTTTCTGCAAGATTATCAACCACTTTCAACATGAGGAAATTCGCCAATTCCTTTGGGCTTATTCTGATTTTTTTATTGGTACAACACCTTGAGCTTAAAGCAAACTTATGACACAACTATCCATTAAAAATAAAGTTAAGTCACAATTATCTGAATGCAATTCCTGAAGCCTTTCAATAGTCGAAAAACTTACACGTCCTTTTTAGCCATCACTACTTAGCCCACACAAAGACCATTTCCAAAAGTAATTAGATACACCATCAGGAGAGGACATGAATGCAAGCAAGATATTTTCGTTCATCAAAGTTGCAGATACATTCACGAGTAATTTCTTCCTAACTGAACGTTCATGAACTCAAAGGCTCTCCACATTATATAGTTACGGATTGGCAATGTAGGCATGTAATATACACTGACTCCACTGCAAGAATCAACAGTGCGGCATATTTGAAAACAGAAAGAAAAAACAAACTGAGAGGGGAATTCAAGGAATGAAAAAGATGCAACGTAGATCCCATCTGCAATCTGCAATCAAATAAAAGGAAATCATACTTGCTAGAAGCAATCTCAGCATGTGACTTTTCAAGTTCTCTCTCTAGCTTAAGCTCATTAGACCTTAGTCTGAGTGCCTGCAATGACATCATTCCATTATGTTGGTTAGACAGAATGAAAATATATAAACAAGGGCTAGCGTATACCTGATGTATAGTATATGTTTGTGTTCACGCCTATGAGATGTACTCTTATATAATTCGACAAATAAAATCTGACAGTTAGGATCTTTTGATTAATATGATTTTATGGTTTGAGTTTAGAAAATTAGAGACTGAGGTTCACTCATTAGAGGTTACGGTATAATATCAAGCCTCAAACTCCATTTAGTTCATAGTCTAAATAGCCAAACTCGCTTGGGCACGGTAAGATTAGCGTACGGCTTAACTATATAATTATACATAATTCTAGTCTTTGTTTAAGTTTACCACCAACTGACATACCTTCAAGGTGAAGAATTTCTCAAGAAAATAAGCAACAGATCCTCACTCCCAGACCACCCCAATTGCTTTCCCTTTTAGGATAGGACTCAATATCGATCATATATAAACCGATCTTGTTCTGTTCTAGACCACTCCAGCATATTATGCATATACCAACCTATTACAGGTTCATACAGGCAAACTCATAGCAAGTCGCAGTTCAGGACCCTCGTCAAAAATATCTGGGCCACTTTCATAACTGGAAAAGGTCAAAGTATCGGTAACCAAGGATTCAACGACGTCCT